TTTTTTTTTTTTGGAGACAGGGTTTCTCTGTTGTAGCCTTGGCTGTCCCGGAACTCGCTCGGTAGACAAAGCTGGCCTCAAATTCAGAGACCTGCCCGCCTCTGCTTCCCAAGAGCTGGGATTAAAGTGCCACCACCTCCTGCAATTGTTTCTTTTTAAAATGTTTCTACTACATTTAAATTACATATTGCTGTTATATTTCTATGGGCTAGCGATGAACTAGAGGGCACCTGGCACATGGTTTGTTGAGTTAATAAATTAATTCTAACCACTGTTCTACTCTTTTTTCTATTGTAATCCCTTTACAATAGCCTTTATTCGGTTTGAAGAGAGGGTAAAACTCTGGCCTAGTGTCTGGCCTTTTTAAACGTAGCTTGGCTGCTGTCAACAGCCAACACCCCTACAACACAGCTGTCAATCACTAGGGGAAATTTTGCACTGGTACAGAGTCCTGTTAAGAACGGGGAGTCTGGTCACAGATTGCTTTGAGATTTGACTATAAGGCATCCATGGGAAGGAGAGCGGAAGCTATAAAAAGATTCACAGAAGAAAACAGTAGAGGCCATTTAAACAGAATTCTATGGGGAAGATCCTCAAAGGCTTTTATCTAGATAGAAACCGGGAGAAGAGCTGCCGGTGACACCAATCCCTGAAAGCCCGGCTACTGCAAACAAAGAAATGTCATTTCCTAAATGCAAAGGGGACACCACCCCAGGGAATACCCGTCTTTCAAACATCCCACTCAGCCCTGCAAGCCCTGCAGCGCATCCGAGTCCTCCCGACCTAGGTGAAGCCTGAACTTCACTGGAGCCAAGTCTGAGCCCTAGGCCTCGACTCCTGGGATTGCCCTACGAAAACTGCCTTTCAGCTCGGGTATTTGGAGACACCCGAGTCTGGCAACAGCACCCCACCCCACCCCAAATCCATGCACCTATGCTGTGGGCACAGCGCAGGACCAAGGGCTCTTTTAGGGAGAAGCCCCGGGGGGATGCAGGTCTAGCCTTCCTGCGTCCACTCGGCGCAGGAAGTTCATCCCATGCTCTCTCTCTCTTCCAGCTCTCGTGGTGACAGCTGTGGGCAAGGGCAGAGCCAGGACCGGACCTCACCCACCGGGGTGTCGGGTCCTACGTGTCACCGCGGGGCAGCGCCCCGGGCCCCACCCCGTTCCCAGGCACCCACCCTCCCGGCTAGCCGCGGCGGGCGGGGAGGCC